ATGAATTCCACAGTGTGATTCGCGACAGATCGACGATCCTACTGTATTTGTAACTCCAATCAGAAGGGCACCACGCGGCTTACAATACCTGAAGCGAAGAACTTTGGTGTTTATTCCGGTTCGGGTCAGGTCCCTAACAGGGACCCTAGGGAATACCTGAGCGCCATCAAGGTATCAGCTGTTTCACCGCTTTGTGATACGAAAATGCAGACGTCATCGCGGAAAATCGGTGTCTCACGATCAAGGAAGTCCGACGCCAATTCCAACACTACCGGCAGCTCCGACAGCTCTTCCAAAATCTGAAACACATTCTACGATCAATAGCCGGAAATCTAACCAGGGCACGCCATCGTTGTGATGATCACAACGGGGGGGGGGTCGTATTTGACCGCGAGGGAGGGGGGTCGTATTTGGTCTGAGAAAAAATTTTTTTGATAGTTGATTTCTCTTGTTTCACGGACGCTACAAAGGAAGGGGGTCATTGTTGAGAGAGGGCTGCCAAAGATCTATAGAACTATTTCCGATATTTGAAAATGACAGTTAAATCCTGACGACCTCTCCCCCCTCTCGACAGCAAAATTTCGGGGAAAACAGAAATTTTTCGGGAAATTTCGGAAAAACTGGTAGGAGGTTAGGGAAAATCCAAGAAATTTTCCTGTTCCACATTGGGTATATATCCCAGCAAACGATCACAACGCGATGGCGTGCCCTGAATCTATGACTTGAGAAACTTGTCAAACCCATTCTATGACTCGATGAGATCAATCATACATCCCTCAACAAGTTTAAAATGGGGCCCAAAATAGAAAATGCTGGTGACTTCGCCCATCAAAGTGCATGTGTTTAGCCCTTTACAATACTTCAAGCAACAAACTGCACCTGCCGACAAGCAATAGCTGAATTGTATGACGTGCCACAAGCCACCATGATTAATCGACGACACCTCTTGATATCCGCCACATAGTCCTAAATTATTACCTTAAAATCTGTGGAGTCCATCAAAGAAATTAGGCTCAAAATGGGAAATATTCCGACATTGGAGGGGAGGGGTAGCAGTAGGCACAGCGACTGCGTTTCTTTGAACCGTTCCCGGTTCAGGCCGAGAGAGGCAAGAGGTGCAAATGCTGTCCTATGTTGTCCAAATTCACTACTTTTCAAACGGGAGACGGCCAAGAGAATCGTAATTTGCCGCTCTGCCGCGCGCGGCGATGGGCGCGGCGTTTTCTTGACTCGCGTTAGCCTGTCGATTGGAGCACCGGGCGAATTACGATTCTCTTGCCACGTACCCTTTTCAAACCATATCCACGACTTCCCACAGCTTCTGCTTGCGTAACTTTCTTGAACTTTTGTTACTTCGTACATATACACTGGCTGAAAAGGACTGTCCTTCGCCACATAGGCGATACCACCCACTTTTCAAAAAAATGTGGCAAGAAATTTCATGGCTTCCAGCCTCATTAATTTCGAATTACCTCTCGCGCACAAGCCAATTACACATAGGCCCTCAGCTTTAACAACTGACACATAGATCCTTTCCACGACTTTGATTTCTTCCATCTTTCCTTTCGAAGTTTTTACATTTCTGGTTTGCAAGGGTATCCCCACTCACTATGCGAAACTCCGCCCCTTTCTAAAAGCCTCCCCTCTTCTGCAAAAAGCCGCGAATTAGCGGTTGAGCGTCTCAACAAAAAGGGCTTCCGCTCATCACTCGGACCTCTCCAGAAATGTGAAAACCTCCGAAAAAAGGCCGAAATTTTGCGGAAAGGCGCAAAGTGGGCGTGACTACGGGGCGGAGCTTTTTGTGCCAACGCATGATGCGAGCCTGTGAGTACATTTGTTCGCGTCTAGAGTGAATGTGAAATAACGACGCTGGAAAAAGTTATGAAACTTTGAATTTACAATAAATTCTGCAAAAAGTGGGCGGAGTATTGTTCGATTGCTGCAGATCTTCTCAGTTAATGAGTATGTAAGTAGTTTGTGTACTTTTTACGCCTCCGAATATGTCCCCTTTCACTGGTGAAGCTTACCTTAATTCCACCCAACACAACCTGACCACTGGGCAACAAGCGTCCACGCATCGTGTTCACTACGGAATCAGGCTGCTCGAAGATTTCCTGTAATCATGACTGTTCCAAAAAACAAGGGCCTGAACAAGAGTTCAGAAAGACGTACTTTTTGCATGAAGTTTAAAAGTGCCCTTCATGATTTGCTGTAGCTCCAAATTCAGATTCTGCACTTCACGTTTTTGATCCGAGGTGGCATCCGATGCTTTACGAGTAAAGCGATGGATGGTGAGCGCTTAAAGACCTCTATGTGTAGGAAAATAAAGGCACCTTTGACTAACAGTAAAAAATTTGAAAATTCCTGGACTCCATTTATTATAAAGTTAGCGATATGAAAGTAATAAGGTAAGCCCGACAAAGTACATGCCGTACCTCCATCTTCAACGAAAGCCACATCATCATCTTCTAGGAATAGCACTTGTTTGGTGTGCTCAATAATTGCAGCCGCATCGGACGCAACGAAATACTCAACCTGAATACAGTCGTCATTGTCGTTTTCCTGGATCAATTCACAAGATTATATGTTCAGGATGTCAGGGTGCGCACAGTACCCTCGAAAATTGCGCGTGAACTTGAATATGTTGCATCGTAAACGCACACAACTCCTAGCGTCCCTTGGGAAACTGGGCATAAGCCGCAACCCGGTTTAGTTACCCAAGTGTTACCCAAGTTTGAGTGACTTCCTAACTTATAATTCAGTGAGCAAATCAGCCGGTTCGGAAGCCCGCTTCTGTGACTGGCTGCGCTCCACTGCTCACCACTGCTGTGAAGCAAATGCCAATATAATCACATTCAGGGTGCAATCTAGTTCTCTGAGCCGTTTTAACCTTGCAATAATTCGAGTGCGTTCAAAGTTTGCGTCAGAGTTTTGAGAGGTCGCCAGCGATGCCAGTGCAGCCCCGTCAAAAACATGGATCAAGCACGATACAGTGCTAGTTGCTGTAAGGCTGCGTTTATACTTTGCGGCAGCGTAGCGTAGCGTAGCGTAGCGCAGCGTAGCGTAGCGCTTCCAGCGTACGCCAGCGGCAGTGCCGAAGAGAGGATGCATATCGATCTAGCTTCACCAGCGTCACCAGCGGCACGCTAGCGTACGCCAGCGTTTCTCCAGCGTTTCACCAGCGTTTTGCTAGCGTTTGCAGCGGCAGGGGAGTAGAAGACTATGGAGAGCTGGAGGGTACAAAGCATATCGATTGCGCGTATCTCACTCGCCCTTAGTCTCTACAATGCACATCGCTTCTGCGTCTTCGACGGCCCCATAGTCTCTACAATGCACATCGCTTCTGCGTCTTCGACGGCCCCATAGTCTCTACAATGCACATCGCTTCTGCGTCTTCGACGGCCCCATAGTCTCTACAATACACGTCGATTCCGCGTCTCTGCCGGCCACATAGTCTCTACTCCCTGCCGCTGCAAACGCTAGCAAAACGCTGGTGAAACGCTGGAGAAACGCTGGCGTACGCTAGCGTGCCGCTGGTGACGCTGGTGAAGCTAGATCGATATGCATCCTCTCTTCGGCACTGCCGCTGGCGTACGCTGGAAGCGCTACGCTACGCTACGCCTTATGCGGCTGCGCGCTAGCGCTACGCTACGGCTGCCGCAAAGTATAACGGCAGGCCTAAACCCTGGCTGTACGCTGGCGTACGCTCAAAATGCTGGACCGACACTAATGCTTTCCCAATCGCTCAAACGCTTCAGACGCCGTCGTACATGCAAAATGCTGACGCAAAGTATAAATAAAGTTTTGGCGGTTTAGTACGGCCGCTCAGCGCCGCGCGCCCCGCAGTTGTCCTGTGTCAGTTTGAGTCATAAAGTTTGATTTTGCCCCGTGGCGCAGCGTTATTGAAACGGAATAGATAATGAGGAGCGTTCAGACTTTGCGACGAGCGCATCATCGCGAAGTTTGAGCGTTGCCTAAGACGGATTTCTTGGTCCATCGAAGCGCTGCTCCCTGCCCCTCCTCCAGGGTTCGAAACGGTGTTTAACCACGAATCGCACCGTTCTCAGCGCCCTTCAAGCGGGTGCTTCAATACATTGAAAATTGCATCACACAGGCTGTGCCGGAGGCGATGTGACATAAGGACCTCGAATTTGTAGGACTGCAGCAAGCGCGCGGAACAATGATAGCGAGCGATTTCTCGGGCTGCGAAATCTTCTTGTAGTAGACAGATCATTGCGAGATGCTGACTTTGCATAGAAATCACCCACTTCCCATTCTTCAGAATCAAACGGTCGTACATTCGTAGTGGAGTTATCGCGTTCTTTCAAGTGTGCAGATCGCATACCTGAAAAGAAAACTTCACAACTTCATGTTCCTAGTAGTCTTGTTGGCTGCAGATGCTGAATCGTTTCGACGAGAGGGGTGAGTTTGACACGCAAATATTTTTCCACCAATTGGGAGCTGTCAGGCGACAACAGATGGTGGAAAACTTACTTGCGCTGCGTCGACAACCCCTTTCCCCCGTGAAACGCCCCCAGCGCCTGCAGCGAGCAAGACAATAGAAGTCTCCTGGTGCGATTGTAGCAAGGTTCGCTATCTGTCACGAGTTTGGAGATGACGTGTCACACAACATGGTAACGACACGGCAACCTTTAGGCTGCGTTTATACTTTGCGGCAGCGTAGCGCAGCGCTCCCAGCGTACGCCAGCGGCAGTGCGGGGAGAGGATGCTATCGATCTAGCGTTCCCAGCGTCAGTAACGCTAGCGTTACGCCAGCGTTTCTCCAGCGTTTCACCAGCGTTTTGCTAGCGTTTGCAGCGGCAGGGGAGTAGAGACTATGGGAGAGCTGGAGGGTACAAAACACATCGATTGCGCGTCTCTCACTCGCCCTCAGTCTCTACAATACACATCGATTCCGCGTCTCTGACGGCCACATAGTCTCTACAATACACATCGATTCGCGTCTCTTACGGCCACATAGTCTCTACTCCCCTGCCGCTGCAAACGCTGAAACGCTGGAGAAACGCTGGCGTACGCTAGCGTTACGCTGGTGACGCTGGGAACGCTAGATCGATATCCCTCTCCCCGGCACTGCCGCTGGCGTACGCTGGAAGCGCTACGCTACGCTACGCTACGCTGCCGCAAAGTATAAACGCAGCCTTACTGGACAAGTGTTACCGATGCCTTGGGACACGTCACTGACACGTTGTGACGTCAGTGACACGTCACCTGTCTTTTAACAGGTAACTAGGAAGCGCACTTGTGCTACATCAGTGGTGAAAGTTTCTTGCATAAGCGAGCTACTCATGAAGTACAGTGAGAAATGCGACGAGGTAAATTTCAAAAGAAAAACTCCTTCAGCTATGGTTCTCATCAAAAAAAAAAATGAGTGGACTGTTCTTGAGCAGACGCGTTGCGACCTCTCGCCTCTCAGATGTTCAATATGACCACGGCTTACCTGTGGAAAGATCCAATATATTCGGAGTGCCAAGATACGAATCGTCACATGAGGTGTGTCGTACTAAATAACTATAACTTACACGAGTACTAGCCAATCGATAAAACTCAAAAGCACATCCCTCAACAGCAACAGAAAATTATAGCAGCTATCGATTAGTGAAGTATAAAATGAAGCGATAGACGAGAAGTGGCTTACAGTGAGTGGCTTGTGAGGAGACAATGCGGCGAGCTGAAATGTCAGAGCATGAGGTAAGACGCAACCCGAAAAGAAAGCCCTATCAGGCAAACATAGGTTCAACCCGTGATATAAAACAAAGAGTTAGAAATTATTAGAACATGTATTTTATAAACGGACACTGTTACTGGAATATCTGAAGAGAGCCTCATTTCGACTACTGCATCCTTATCCGCTATCTTTTTGAAGTTATTATGGAATGCAAAGATGGCTCAAAACTAAGTGATGGCGACACCA